CTGGATGGAGTCACTGAAGCAGTTGGTGTGAGCTTGGGTGGACTCCATCCAGCCACCTCATCCTCTGCCGTCCCCTTCTTCTTTTGCCGTCAATTGTTCCCAGCATTAGGCTCTTCTCCAGGGAGTCCTTCCTTCTCATTAGGTGGCCAAAGCATTTGAGTTTCATCTTCAGTATCTGGCCTTCTAAAGAGCAGTCAGGGTTGATCCCCTCAACTGACTGGTTTGACTGACTGGTTTGATCTTGCGGTCCAAGGGACTTGCAGGAGTCTTTCTGGAAATCCTACACCAGAGCTAAAATCACTCCCATCCCTTTGTGCATTTAATATGCATGCATTCAATAAGAAATGTTTTGATCAGTTGCAGAATTGTAGCCATTCAAATAAAAGAAAAGCAGCATTGACCTCTGACCAGCAGCTTTCAGGTCTTGGCACCTTCCTAAGAACTTGGAACCTGCTCAGTTTCCTCCCAAATGACATTCCCATAATATGTGTTTGAATTGTGGTCAGGGCTGAGAAATCAGAACAGTTTTGTAGAAGTATTTAAAAATCTTTTTCCACTTGCCAAACTGCAGACTTCTCTGGCAACGTTTTTTTAAATTATTTTTTATCATTTCCTTGAAAGAAAGAAAGTACAGAAAGGAAGAAAAACGTAAAAGAAAAATAAGAATGCTAAGGGATCTTACACAAATACCTACACTCGTATCTTGCAGATTCCCAAAGAAATGAAAAATATCTGCCTTCGTATCAATTAGAACTTTGTTGAAGTTTGGGAAAAGGTAATTACAGTTCTGTAAGTCAACAAATTTTCCAGTCACTTCAAATCAATTATAAATCATCAACAGTATTTTAATGAACTTCCCTTTGTTCTGTATTAATTAAACCACATATAATAGAATTTCCATTTATCATTAAATTCTTCAATTGGTCTTCTGTTTACATAATTAGTTAATTTTGCCATCATTACATAGTCAGCCAACTTATTTTTCCAATCTTCAATAGTTGGACGTTTAAAAGCATTTGTAATCCTTGCTGCAGTTGTCATATATTTAAATATCTCTGACATGTTCTTTGAAAAAGTCTCTGGCATTATATTGAGAAGCATATTCTTAGGACTCATAGAAAAGTTGATTTTAAAGTGTTTTTGTATTTCTGCATGTATCAACTTCCAAAATCTTGTAGGTTTATCACAAGTCCACCAGATACAGTAGAAAGTCCCATCTAGTTTTTCACATTTCTGACATTTTCCATTATAATTATTGTCCATTTTTTCTATATTATCTCTCAGGGTAATGTAGCACTGAAGAAACTTACCAGTTTTTTCTTAGTGCTTGACTGGCTGTGCATTTAATGTCTTTCTTCCTTAAACTTCTCATTGGCCGGGCAAGAATTCTTCTCCA